ATATTTTTTTGAAAATTAACAGAGAAAATTACAGTTAAATGGATTACTATAAATCTATCTCTCAAACCACCATTAGATCACTTTTTATTATCACTGATAAAATCTCTATATATCATAGTTCTACTCTTATTTTTCACTACAGTATATAGATAATTATGAAATAATAATAAACATGAACTTACGTGCGTGTGCTAGAGATAATGCCCATAGCCTAAGATACGAAGCTGTATGGGAAACGGTGCTTAACACATACTCAATAGTTTCAATGGATTGATGAATGAATATTTCAGAAGCTGGTTCATCCTCTTCATGACCAACAGCGTTGTTAAGCATACCACTCAATTCAGTTTCTTTTAGTTCAATACTCCCGTTCAACTCTCCACAGCTATCGGACTGATATAAAAACACATCCATAACATATATTATTATTTATCATATATTGTATTCTGCAATAATATTTTATAACATTTTAAAATATCATATAATAGTTGATGTTACTATTTGGACACAAATACAAAATGTAAATGTGACCTTGAAACAAGTGGTCTTGCGACCTAGCGATCTTACTATCAAACAATCAGAAATTAAAACTTCAGACTCTAGAATAACCATTGGGAGTTTTTAGTCCACCTTGATTAAAGTGATGGAGGAAGTTTTGAGAACTCCTTTAAAAATTCTCAAACCATCTCTAATAAAAGTAAGCATGGGGTGTAAATGATCCATGACATTCAGTAAACAGTTGAAGAACTGAGGTGGGGCATGAGGAACAAAAGAAAACTTTTACTAATAGTGAAATTAAGGTACTAACAGGCAATGAACATCTGTTTTAATGAACTGTAAAAGTATTAGTAGAGAAAAAATTGAGTGTCACAAATACCACTTTTTCTTTTTAATTTTAAGAAAATTATTTAATCTATGCCTTTAGTTACAATAAGAATGTGTGATAAAWGGGAATTTATGACTGAAACCATGTGAGGGAAGAAGCCATCCAGTAAAAACACTACCTATTTGTATTTATTTTTACTTAACACATATCATTCAAAATCGTTTAAATAACAAAGCTCTAGGGCGCTTGAAAAAAAATTGTAATAAATTAACACAAATCACAAACCGTATGTTTCTTGTGGCGTCTCTCGTACAAAATTATGTACAATGGTTTACCAAACAACATTACTGGAATACATAGCATAGCGATTATAACAAAGATCTTTTGTAAACGATCCTAAAATGTAAAAAGTGTCAAGTATGAAAAAATATAAATAACATTCTTTGAAATTGAAATTACTTACTTGTCCTTCAAACATGTATTCGTCACATCCGTCGAATGGTTTCGTGTGTTTGAAAAGCATCATATTAATAAACATAATGAGCACGGATGGTGCACATCTAGGGCTGGTCTTTAACGCTATAATAATTTATACTTTCAAAATAAACATTTATGATAACAATGATATTTAAATACACATACAATTTTTAGGACCATACCAGATCCATTTCATGAACATCAAGGACACCATATACAAAAACAACAATACCAAAAATAACATTTGAGGTATAAATTGTAAAATTATGTTGATTTTTTTGTTGAAATGTCTATGAACGAAAAAAATTAAATTTTAAGTAAAATATTTACATCATTGAACTGTTAGAAACYGTTTGTAATATACATACACGTGATTAACAACACTGAGTACAACACCAAACATCATATGAACAACTCCAAAAATGATTGATAGTTTCATTTTGTATGAATTAAGAAATATTATTTTATTAACAGCGACCTGAAGAATATAATATTATTGCAAATTGTCATTGATATAATTCATATTGTAAAGYATATTTTTTAGTTTAAATTACCTGCCAAACTGGATCAAGTCCCAGKGGATAAGGTTTCTGCAAATAATCTTCGGTAGCAGGATCTAATGTGATACTTTTGTTTCCAATGATATAACTTGGATTTTCGTTGATTGACCAACTGGAGCCGAACAAATTCACAGACTTTGAAAATACATCATTATATATAATTCCGGTATAAATTGAAAACAATCCCATGAGCAAGATTATGTAGCGACCACCAAAAAATATGTTCCAAATCTAATAAATATAAATGAATCGTTTTAAATTTTATGATTAATACAATATGGTAAATAAATTAAACCATAATGATATTAAACAATAAAATTAATCTCAATAACAYTGAATTATTTTTAAATACACACATCAGGTATACATTTTTAATTATATATTATATATCTTTAAACTATATATTAATATTACCTATATTATTTTCGACACTAAGATAAAAAAAAAAACAAAAAACTGTAAATATTTAAAAGATCATTTAAATAAATATCTTGAAAATAATCTCTAAATACAGGTATATAATATAATATAAAAATTATGATTATGTACAATAGGTAGATACAAATAATAAACAGAAATATTACATGTGAAAAAACCTAATATTTTTGCGCAACATTTTTTTTTTATGTTAAGAATTTTTTTATTTTATGATCAATTAATAAATTATTGGTTAGATTATGAGAAAAGTGATAAATGTATTGATTTTACATTGATGCGTGTAGTTTTATAGGTCTGTTGTCATMAATTATTTGGGCAGTTATAGTGCTTAATTTTTCAAGAGAGTGCTTTCCAGTAGAAAATTGGATCTAATTGATACTTCAGAGAGTCAAAAGTAAAAAATAACTCACAGCACTTTTCAAAATAAACGAGATGAATAAAAACAAGTGAGCAAGTGGAGACCAGCCTGCTGGACAGAAGGTGAAGAGTGAGGCACTGTACTAGATGTTTTAAATTTAAATTAAATGATAAATCATTCAAAATTTTTGATTTTTTAAAGTTTTTTTCTGTAAATATCAGTTAAAAAGTGGGCGCTTTTGTATATAAGTATTTATTTTTTTACAATTTGGAATACACAATTTGTACAACATAGCACAATAAGTATATATGATAATATAATAGTAGCATGAATATTTTAAATTAAGAAGTCACCCATTGGTATTATGGTCTTCAGCATTAATGTTTTGAGAGTTGACAAGTAATTTATTTTAAAGGATATCAGTGCACTATTTGTTTTATTTCTCTAGCCCACGCTCAACATAGACAAACAAATTTGCGTAGAATTATTATTTCTATGTTTTTAAGTGATCTYAGAGAAAAAACACCCATAACAAAAAAGATGGAGAATAATATTTTTGAGGGAATGACATATTGATTTGTCTWAATATTGTTTCAAAACAATTTATACATCATTTAAATTTAGAGCATTTTTTTGTTAATATTGAAAGTCGAATACAAAATCAAATGAATAAATAAATGAATAATCAATAAAATATAATATCGATATGCGGTTTGTTAATTTTGAATAGAAACTTTTTTAGTGACATTTTATAAGCTCGTTTACTAAATTAGATCATTAAGGAGGGCTGCATTTGTTATGTACCACGGAGCACCAGTGATAAGTCTTAGGCAGGGGTCGAGAACCTTTTTGTAGGAAAGAGCCATTTTTTCAAAAAAATACAAAACTATGATATCCAGGGAGTCGCACTGAAGGTTTTGACAACCTTTTTTTAGTAGGCAATAAAAACATAATAATACGTCTTAAATTTAGAAAATATAGAAAAACTTTATTTCATTAATTCATTATTATTTATATTTATATTATTATTATTACTATTGTTTATACAAATATAATATTATTTAGTATACAGGGTGATTCTTTTATCAAACAACACTCATTATTTAAAAAAGTATTGACTTTTTTCAAATTTTTCTTTTTTCAAAATTGTAGATTTATACTCTTCTTGAATTGTTTATTTTTTTTATATTTTTCACCCTTATATTTATTAGATAAACCACTATCAACTTTTGATTTTTAAATGGTAACCTACACTTAAAATTTCATAAATTAATAAACCTATTTTTTTATTAACTATTACGTAAGAATTTCGAATTTAGCGCTAGTAGTTTATGAGTTATAGATATTTAAAGTTTTTGATTGGCAGAGTGAAGTGGTACGGGGTTACTCCGCAAAATGTTTGTCCACTACTCCGCTTGTCTAAACTTAAAATACTTATAACTCATAAACTACTCGTCCTAAATTCGATTTTTATGTATCTACATTTTTAGAAAAATATTCTGCTTTGAAATATGAAATTAAAAAACTATGTTACCGTTCAAAAAAGTAAAAAACTTAAAAAATGATAATGATAAAAAATATTTAAAAATATAATTTTTTAATAAAAGCGTTGGTTTTTTAACAACTTGGTACTATGTAAAAAATATTTTGAAAAAAGTCAATACTTTTTTAAATAATGAGTGTTGTTTGATAAAAGAATCACCCTGTATAAGTAATATAATTGATATTTTACGGATATCGATTTATTGATAATTATCCAAAGAGTCGCATGCGGCTCCGGAGCCACAGGTTCCAGACCCCTGTCTTAGGGTAATTGATTGGAAGGTTTATATAGGGCAAAATGCGGGAATACTAAGATAACTGAAAAAGAAAAAAAATTATTCTATGTAAATGCGTATTGCCTATATTGAGCATGGGCCAGAGATAGAAAACAGTTAACTAACACCAGTATAAATCAATTATACATCAATGGTAGTTACATCTTATGTTTTCTTTGATGGATTAAATTGTAATCTATCTTTTAGCTTTCAATGACAGTTCATCGTTATTAAGTTTTAATAGTAAATATTTTTCACTTTTTGCAATTCTGCCATATTGTTGATTTCCACGMACGTTAGAATATCTGACAAGTTCATAACTTTGTACTTACATCACAATGCGCAATTATGAGACTAGTAAATTATATTAGTCATTTATTCATCAAAAATATTGCTTTTATTGATATTTGTAATATTATCTTATGGATACAAATGTTACAACAAAAATAATTTWAAAAAAAACTGCTATTATTTATAACTATACAAAATCTTATTGCAGTAAAAATAATAACTTTCACAATTTACTTGAAACATGAGAAGCCCAAGTAGGTAGATCTTTGTATTAATATTTTATATACATGCTTAAAATGATGTAACAAAAAATATAAATAATATTAAACATTTTTATATTTACTTCATTTGAAGACTTTGTTTTAGACAATTGTTGTTCATATATGACCATATATGCGCTAAACACTGTTAAAATTATTCCATGGCCAGCATCACCAAACATTACACCGAAAAGAAACGGGAATGTGATTATAGTGTATAAGGCTAAATAAAAAATAATTACATTAATAACAATAAATATACACAAAAGTATCCAGTTTTAATTCACCAGGATTAACTTCTCGATAACCAGAAACGCTGTATGAATCCACCAAATTTTGGAAGCCCTGCGTGAACCTATTAGTTCTATTAAATGTTGGTGGATTTTCATTAGTTTCAATTATGTTTAGAAATGAAGGTATTGAGCTGCCTACAGCTTTCTATATAACAAAAATTGCAATCAAAATCCATCAAGTTGATAAATATACTTATAAGAAATTAATGATCTTACACTGCCTTCAGCTAATGTATGTCTGATAAATGCCAAGTCTTTTATTGGTATCCAGCATTCACCAATCAGACATTTTTTGGTAACGTCCATGTTAAATAAATTAAGTGTATGGTAGATAGCTTTCATTTTGCGAACCATAACACCCCAATTATGCAAATCTTTTGTAACAGTTGTCAACACACGCTGCCTATGGTCTCTTGTTTGATTTAAAACCTAACAGCAAATAATAAATTAATTAACTTAAGCAAGTCAATAAGCGGTATTGAGGGGCTAAATAATATTACAAATTACCATATTCAAATCTTCTAGTCTTGTTTTAACACCCTTTAACATCTCTTGTCTTTCAGAATGTGCACTTGGGCAATTATAAAATGAAGCATGAAATCCAGAGCAAACCTTTTTCACCCGTGACTTGAGCTGCTCTCCTTGGAAGAACGCAACAAACACAGTTTTGAAAATCTCATTTCCCTAAAATAATACATAATATATACATTTATTTATAATATACAATACAGTGTAAAAATGTACATTGATTTAGGGAACATGTTATTTCTTGGCAGGATTGCATTGGATTGCATTGGGAAAGTTTTGAAAAATACACAATTATAAGAACAATTTTAATTTTTCAACAATAACATACTATCAATATTTCTTTAAAAATAAAATCACCTAATTTTAATATCATATTTAAATAGAATTCAAAAATCTATATTTTTCAGAAATTTTGACTTATTAACAAAAATCAAAATTGACTGAACAAGAGCAATTTAAAATTTAATATATAATAAATATTTGTAGATTTATTCTAATGTTAAAATCCATCCATATTACATTATTTATATTATTTATTTTACTTCTAATTTGTATAAAATATTAAAGTATAATATCACAATGGAAACAGTTATTGAAATAATAATGATACATTACTTAAAATCACTTAAGAGGACGCCACACCGGCATGTGTTGTCTTGGTCGTACAAGTGCGTAGCATAGCAAATTTTACGCTCAGCAGATCACGTTTATCTCCGTTATTTTAAAATTTAGAGTGAATTGACCTATTATATAAAAGGCAAGATTATTACCAAGTGCATCTCATAGGCTTTTTATTATATTTTAATTTTAAAGCGAGTAATGAGTATTTTAAAATTGTAAATAATTTTTATATCTAAAAATACTCATAACTCGGCTTAAAATTAAAATATAATAAAAAGCCTATGAGATGCACTTGGTAATAATCTTGCCTTTAATTTTTATAATAGGTCAATTCACTCTAAATTTTAAAATAACGGAGATAAACGTGATCTGCTGAGCGTAAAATTTGCTATGCTACGCACTTGTACAACGGAGACAACACATGCGGGTTTGGCGTCCTTTTAAAGTTGGTACAAATAATTCATGTGCATTTTGTACGCCATAGATATTCCCATTTGTTTTTGCATTTAATCCTTCTTGGTTAAATCATTACAAGCAACCACAATTTATTTATTGAAACCAGATATATAACAGTCAATCTCTCAGATAATCTAATATAACTTATAATTATTAATTAATTACTAACATATTTTATATTTATGTAATCATAATGATTTATTTAACTCCRTTATGTTTAATTTTACAGTGAATTGACCTATTATCAAATTTTAAAATAAGAATATTGCATGGTCAATGATGTAAGATTTTTTTATATTTTAGGAGGATGCCAGTGCAGTATTTGTTTTCTCTCTTTTGCCTACGTTCAACATAGACAAAACACATTTACACAGAATCATTTTTGCTATGTTTTTAAGTAATTTTAGAGCAAAATCTTCTATTACAAAAATATAGAGAATAATATTTTTGAGAGAATGAATATCGATATTATATTTTATTGTTATTTGATTTTGTATTCAACTTTCAAAATAAACAAGAAAAATGATGTAAATTTAAATGATATTTAAATTGTTTTGAGACAATATTTAGACAAATCAATGTCATCCCTCAAAAAAATTATTTTCTAACTTTTTGTAAGGGGTGATTTTACTCAAAGATAACTTAAAAATATTGAAAAAATCATTATGCGTAAATGTGATATATCTATGTTGAGCGTCGGCCAGAGAGAAAACAAAATAGTGCACTGACTTCCTCTTAATTTTAAAGCAAATTTTAAGCATTTTTAAATTGTTAATTGTTTGTAAATTTTAAAATGCTCATAATTCTTTTTTAAATTTAAATATAAAAAAATCCTGCCATTGGCCATATAATACTCTTATTTCTAAATTTGTTAATAGGCCGCTCACTGTAAATTAAACATAATAAATTAATAAGTTAAATAAAATTATTCAGAATGTACATCTTCTTAATGATAGAAATAATTACAAATTTAACTTAAGAGTTATGAGTGATCAGTGTTTTTAGATATAAGATGATTAACACAATCATTTACAGAAAATGTTCAGATTAGGTATAATTCTTACCGTAGATGGGTCTTCAAGCGAATCTTCAAGTTCTGCCCTACGTAGAAACACATTTCCTCGACTGATACGCCATAACATACGCTCAAAACCAGGTACTCGTTCTCGGGGCACGACTCCGGCAACAAACCTAATGTGAAAATAACAGTGGCGATAAATATATTGTATTTAAATAATTTCAGAATTGATGTTTATTGTTTAATATTTCAGTCCAAAAAAATATTTATTTTTTTATTGGAAAAAAGTTAGTCATCTTTGGCAAAATTTGGGATAAGGATAAAATAGTAAATTTTACATTCAAAAGAATTTGTTTTTACTCTGTTTTTTTTTTAAATGTCAGAATGAATATTTATATACAATGTGTTCACAATAAGAGGTACCACTTTCAATACACGCATGCACTATACAACATACTTTTTTTTAAATGGTAACACCAACTTTTCTTACATATTCGGATAGAGAATTTTTTTTTCTAATTTCAAAATTGGCATATGTATTTAAACGATAAAATTTAATATTTATGAGTAATTTGTTTTTGATGAAATTTATTTTTACTTATTAGTATCTAATATTGTTAAATAGCTATTTGCACATCACAGATAAGATAGTAAAAATAACTTTATCAAATATGAAGGCATTTGCCAGTAATTAAGATAATAAAATATCCTGTTTGTTATACATTTATTTTACAAATAAATATAAATAAATTATTTTCACTGACTAGTAATAATTGTCTTAATAATTTCAAACTASTCATGTGACAATTGCTATTCATGTAACATCGTGCTTTTTTTTATTCTGGTTAGGTATCACATCTTTTTCTGAAAAAATTGTTATTGCTTTAATACACTGTTTTACATAAAAGAAATTCGTTGAAATGAATAACAGTGAAAAAGTTGAACTTATTCTAATTTTCAGCGAATGTAATCATAATTCTCGATAAGCAGTTCGGGTGTACGTAGATCGGTATCCAGATAGGTTTCATCCATATCATAATTATGTTCATAGACTTTTACGTGAATTAAATGAAAACGTTAAATTTCCTAACAATCAAAATAGACAACAGCAGCCTAGACCAAATAATTTTGATGAAGACACTGAATTGCAGGTAATGGCCAACATACGTGCTTATCCACAATCATCAATAAGACATGTATCTCGAAAAATTAGTATATCAGTTGGTGCAATACATACAATTTTGAAAAAAAACTCCATTTCAATACAAGGTAATCAAACTGAAATTTTTAGTGGTACCTCTTACYGCRAACACACTGTATATAAATATTCACTCTGATTATTTTAAAAAAAAGAGTAAAAAAGAATTTTTTTGAACGTAAAATTTACTAYTTTATGTGTTAGTAAGATGTGTAGCTCTGTTAGTTTAAACTTAGAATGAATTGATCCACTCTAAATTTTAAACTAACAGAGTTACACGTGTTTTGCCGAACGTAAAACTTGTTTATTGCTTATTGACCGTTCCTAACCTAAACTTATTAATGAAGTATTCAATTTAGACAAGATAATTTTGATAAAATAATAACAATGATAAATATAATTCGGCTCACCAAAGTTTATTGGCACTTTATTTGTAAAAATTAAGAAACAATTTGATTGTTGAACTTTGAAATTATTTTTCTTCAATAAGAAATTAGTAAAATTGTGTTTTAGATTATGAAGAGAAGAAAAAATGAAATTTACTACTTACCCAAGACGGCCCCGAGTGACTTGGGACTGACTATTTAGTGCTTCGTCGCTGATTAAAGCCTTTGTCAGAGAATCTGTGCCTGATGCGCTAGCACCGTCTTGCTGTTGAAAAGAGAAACTCTAAAGGACAAATAAGAAAAGAAAATCTATGTCTACTTCAAACACTAATGTATCAAATCTATATGCTAATAAAAATTTAATTAAAACTAAATTAAGCAGTTTAAATGCTGTTTAAAATAAATTCATTGAAATAAAATAAGTACAACGATTATTATATAATATGACAATAGATTATTAGAACAAACTAAAAAACAATGAATAAAACTGTGTTCAATTCAAATTTGGTACACAAAATATTTTTGATGTTAAAATATAAGCAAAATATAAGCATTTTCAATTATTTAAACTATATGTTTTCTAACAGCTTTAAAATAAATCAAGACCTAATAACATGCAATAAAGCTAAACTCAAAATTACTTACGTCTAAGAAATCCATATCAAGCTCAATGGATGAACAAGAAAAAAACAACAGTTAGAGACATTTGAGAAAAAATATTTTATCTTATTTGGTATTATATAGACATATTTTTATAGCAGGAATTTAATTTTATATCAGTTTAACTATTTATAAATAAAATAAAATTTTATTTCATATTATTTTTCACTTAGGTTCTATAAAACAAAATAATATAGACTTTTCAAAAACAAAAAAATTATATTGTTTTAATAATTTCTGAAAATTCACACTTTCTCTAACATAACATAATGTTTTGACAATACATTTGTAATGTGTTTGAATATTGAAATGAATTCAGTTACATAGATATGCATTTTTAAGCTATACCTAATATGTTGTTTTCAAAGTAACTATATAATAAAATTGTATGAAATTATTTTATTTATAAACTCTACTAATTTGTATAAATAGAAGTTCAGTAGTTTTTTAATATACAATAGAATGATGATAGATCGATTAAACATATTTGTTATAAACAGAGTTTGGATTTATATTCTGTTAAAATATATGAAATATGTTTATATGCAGCGAAAATTGATGAAATATTCTCAAAATATTTTAAGAAAAAATTCATTGATTGTTATATATTTCTTTAATTATAATTTAAAAATATAGAACTATAAGTAAAAAAATAAAACTATAGAAACTTTATTATTTATTATTTAGTTAAATTAAATATGCAATACATAAACATCCAAATTAATATTATATAATGTTTATAAAGGAATGTACAATAATATATTGTGTCAAATTTTCATAAATAATGTTAGAACTCTGTAAGTTTGGCTAGTATGGTGGTTTAATCACATTGTTTTATACAATATGCTTAGAAATAAACAGATGTTATATTAGAATTTTTCAGATCTGTTGATATATTGGTTGGCATTCTAAACTATTATAGTAATAATAATTATTGTAAAATTATAGATATGATGCGATGTTGTGTAGCTTAGGCTATTTCATTCTATTATTTTTAATATTGGTGAGAATATTAGTAAACAAATATTTATTTGGTAATAAATTATGATAAACAACAATTTATTTACTATAGGAAATTACAGAATTGGTGACTAAAAATTAAAATCAAGCTTAATAACTTGAAAATATTTCTCTAATATAAACCAATATAAAGCAGAAATTTCCTAAAATATTCTAAAGTATTCTCTTTGATCAAAATATGGACTAATATTAAAAAGAACTTTTGATAGATTTTACAGATTATGACAGGTAAACATTTTTAAACTTTTTCAAACAGCATAATATGCTTGTTAAAAATTAAAACCTGATTATATTTATACAGAATTAAATACATTCAGTTGTATAATGTAGTTCATTGTTGGCTAAATAATTATTATAAATTAACTTTTAGTAGAATTTATGGTAATGTTTGTGTACCAAATTTGACTATAAAACATACATAGGAAATACATCATGACATTTTATGTTTTTACAAATAATTCTTGAAATAATATAATTTTATACCTATGTCTATACTCTAGAGTGAATATAATTATACTCAATGTATAATATATTCTGGAATTCAATTATTTTATCATATTTTATGTAAAATATACATTTAAATTAATGAGATTACACTATATACTTAATTCCGTTGTAGGTGTTTATTTGTCACAATATTAATGTATATAACATCATAGCTTACTAAATGTAACTATTTTAAATAAAAAATAATGATTATAATAATTAATTGGCACCTGTYTAGTTTATAAAAATGTAAATTTAGTATGATTATRGATGTAATTGATTATAAAAGTATTTGGTTTAGAACTAACAATATAGTACACAAATGTAAAATTTAAAATTACAATAAAATTTAAAAAATAAACATTATATATTTATTATTAAAAATACTTAATTTTATATTATGTGATATTTTTTARTTATATAAAGAAATACATTAGATAAATTAATCATTTAATATAAATTAATCTTATTATACTTTAGTTGGAATCAAATAATTATAAGATTAATAGCTATAAAACTATAAAAATAATTACTCCAATAGCTTAATATTTATGACCACTAGGTTGAATTAGCTTTTAGTTTCTATATAACTCAACTTATAATATGCAACAGTGGCGTATATAGGGAGGTGGCCAAATGAGCTGCAGCCCCTCCCAAAATTACAGACTTAACTGTTAAATATATAATAGCTTCTAGGTGCTAGATCATTTATAATGATATAGTTGCTATATAGTTAGTTTAGCAACATTATGATGATATATAATAACATTATGTTGCTAATATAGTTAGTTGCTATACATATATTATAGCCCACCCTGAAAATTATTAATATATACGCTACTGATATGCATAAATAGATAACTTTTTTAAAATATAATTTTATAAGAATTAATATTATAATAGTTACCTCTTCAAAAAATGCATGAGTTTTTTCAAGAACATGTTTAAGTTCTGTGAGCTCAAGGTAGTTAGACTTTAGATTAACAGCATTATGGCTAAGCTCTAATATTTCGCTCTCTGTGCGTTCTAATTGTGACTAAAATAAAAAATATATTTATTCGTGTTATATTAATGTATCTACAACAAATAAAAATATGTTAACCTCTAGGTTAATAATTTCCCTCGGATTAGGAGCAAATGGGAAAACACTGCTTTCGGGTACAGGAACATGCACATGGTCTTTGTGCACTTCAGCTTGAATATAGCGCAATTTACGTTCTAGTTCATCACAACGTCGTACTTCACTGACAAATTTTCGCTGGAAGACGTTCATTTCGCTATTTAACTGTAAAATAAATTATAAATTCAAAATGATTTATAATTTATATCATCATTAAATTATAAAAAATACTAATACAATAAAGGGACTTACAATATATTGGTGGTTATAGTTTTAATTAAGTACAAAGTACAAACACATTTTTACGTACAAGATAGATAAATAACAAAAAACAAATTTTAAAGGATTGTCTAAAGTTTAAATTAATTATTGTTTACATAGTCAAGTACATAAGTACATTGTTGTGCATTACTTACATTATATAATTTACAAGACTTAAGTTTAAAAAAAAATATTGTTTTTACATTCTTAGGGTATTTAACGTTTAACAATTTAAATATTTTCAAACATTACTTTAATTTTTGTTTTTTATTGAATGTTATAAGTTTATAATACTGTAAATAAATTATAAATAATGATGATGATCTATTTTTATTTTTCGAATGGTAAACCATGCTGATGAAAAATTATGGAATTTGTAGAACTATTATAAACTAATAAATACAATAATGTCAATTATAACCTAAACTAGACTTATTATTAGGGTTAGGATGTTTATGATTTTTGCATATTTTTTCTTTTAGTCATGTACATTGCAGACCAAGTTATAAATTTGTTTTGTGCGACATAGAATCAGATACATTCAATTTTATTTTGCATATTTTTGCATATTTCGGGATTTTTATGAATAAATGCATATTTTGGAAAAAATTGTAAATAAATGCATATTTCGCCAAAAAATAACCTAAATACAATATAAACCTCAATAAAAACCCATAGGTAGGCACAGTCGGTTTCACATTTAACGAAAATGAGAAAATATGAAACCCGTAGTATATACGTAGGTACGATAAGTACTTTAGTTTTTAATTTCAAAATATCATATTTTTATATATTTGTATTTAAGTTTAAAGCTATAAAAAAAGTTGTAAATTAATTTAAAATACTTTAAAATTTAAAATACTTTAAAATTTTGGATTAGAAATAAAATTTTAAAATTGCATGTTTAATTTTTTTTAAGAGCATATTTTGATATTTATTGTGCATATTTGCATGCATTTTTTAGTGTTTTTAAGGCCATAAACATCCTAACCCTACTTATTATTAATTGTGTTTATGATTATAAAAAAATATATATATATATATATATAATGTCATAAACTCATATATATAAACTGTATATATAACTCATTATAAGGAAGAGAATGTGTTTAATAGATTATTATTTAGGAAAATTTTTTATAATTATATTAATATTTTGACTCTTAAGACATTTGAAATATTGAATACCACTTCTTTGTGGTATTGCCACTTGATAAGTATTAATTAATAACTAATCAACGAGTATTGACATTTATAAGTCTTATTTAACTTTAAAATGTGGTAACTAATAAAATTATAAAAAATGTATGACATTTAAGAAGCACYTAATCATAATTGTAATTCACTAATATTGTATAGATTATATTTCTTTAAAGTTATTTCTAGTTATTTCCAACTATATAACTATTTAATAATAAATAATAGTTGTTTATCTATATCTGTATTATACATATTTTGTAGAGCCGGTTTTATCAAAAAAAAAATAATAGCTTATGCTTAAAAACAAAATACACTTGTTGTTTGTTTATGGTTATTTTTTTATATCTTATGTCTTGTGTATTTTAATGTAATCAGATACAGGTATTACCTGCAAAATTATAATGCATTATATTTTATAAGTACCTATATTAAACCTATGTAAACAATATCTAGTGTATTTCAATTATATGCTTAGAAGTTATAAATAAATGTCATATGAAYATAATTTTTTTCTTAATCGATTTAAACAGTAGCCAACTTTAACAGGTATAGTCATTAATATTAACACTTTTACACATAAATATAGAAAGTACACTTAGAGGAGACATTTTTTTTTCGATTTATGACATAAAAAAATAAGCTATAATATATGTAAATAAGTCCTTGAAAATGAACTAATGTATACAAACTAGTAAACATCATGCCATTAGATAGTCTTTTTAAGTACAAAAAAATTAATTATGTCTATCTAAAGTTTGAAGCAAAAAAAAAAAGAGATTAACATTAAGAAACATGTAAATATTTGTTGTGTGATGTCAATCAAATTGATTACAAGCCAAATGGAAGATAAATATTTATTAATGCTAAAAATCTTCATGACTTTTGGTCTAGTCAATTATAAAGGAATTTAAAAGAATAAAAATTGTATTTAAGTATGTACTTTATCAATAGAACATTCAATATAAATATAGAAATATGTTTAGTCAAGTTTCTTAAGTATAATAATATTAAACATTAAAATATAGACTAATGTAAAATGTATAATGTATTATTTTCATGAATAAAAATATAAATAAAAATGATAAACTAGCAATTATGAATAAACCAGAGAATTTAAATTGCTTAAATTTTAGCATTGAATACAAAATTAGTTATTCTTAATTTTAGTATTAACTCTTGACAAGGCTTTTTTTTTTAAATATATATAAATTTAAAATTTAAATCTGAAGTTACTTCATTAGATTACATATATAATACCTACCAATCCAATTATTCGAATACAAACTAAATAAAGAAATACATCAGATTSAAAAAAAAACCATAAATATATATTAATTTAACGCAGGAAAAAATATTATATCCAATCAAAAAATAATTCCATTTATAATACGGATCATCAAATTAGTACAAAATAAAATACAAAATTACTACAATAAAAATATAAATATAAAATATATGATAATATATCTATTTGTGCGTTGGTGTGACACAGTGGTTGGCCTCAGTCACAAACGTGTTCTGAGGTCAATCATCAGCCGGTGTCACCAGTTCCTATATGGGTGACCACCCGGGTTTTAGTAACAAATTTTTGGCACATATAAACRTATTCTATCTGACCATACCATCATCTACAGTTAAAAACTAACCTACTGAAGTACTGAATAACTTTCAGGCTAATGACCATTGATATTGAAGGTTTTATTCAATAAAATATAAATAATACTACATCTTTAGAAATATAGACACCACATTTTTAATTAAATTGTATGAGATAAGCTATATTATTAATTATATAATAATTTGAATTAATTATGACTCAAATTACAGAAGGAAGGCATATTATTTAAGAGCTTCAAATATATACTTATTAGTTATTCCTAAGAAAATGTGTAATTTTATACATTATTATTATTGATWACACTATACAACGTAAATAGCATGTAATTAGTAATAATAACTAATTGTTCACACTAATATATTATATTTTAATAGTAAAAAATGTTTCATTTGTAGCCTTAAAATATTCATAACTCGCTTTAAAGTTAAAATATGATAAAAAGTCTATGAGGTTGTCTAGATAATAATCTTAGCTTTAAATTTTATTAGAGGTCAATTCACTTAAAATTTTAAACTAACAGAGAAACACGTGTTCTGCTGAGCGTAAAAATTGCTATGTTACGCACTTGTAAGACGGAAACCACACATGCGGGTATCACGTCCTTTTTATACTACCTATTTAATCTTATTGTTAAATATAAGGRCGTTAATAAAAAAAATGATTTAAGTTAACTTTTAATTTTTCTTTATACTCAACAGATCTTTAAAAAGAATCTTATTCTATTATTTCTCATTACCACTAACTCGTTTAAGCAATTAAACATTTTTTTCAACTCAACGAGTAAATTAAAGAGTATTTATTTATATTTCAAAGTTATTTAAGAGGAATTTCACTACTAGATTTAATTTAAAACAAAATAACGTTATTTTTAATATTATGACAAAAACATACAAGTAACACAATACATTTTTAATAATTTAAATTTAATAGTCTTTAAATGTTTGGTCAAAACAATGTATATAAACATGTTTCATTAACTTACAAATACCTACGCAAAGTTTTGAAAATTCGGCAACATTGCATACAAATGTTTGATTAAAAATGTACGCAATCGTTTTCCTTAAAAATGTGAACGATTTCGTATGATCGATAAAAACTGTACAGAAACGCGTGGTACAGCGAAAAAGTATTACATATTTGATGTATTACAGAGTGATTACCTTGTTTGGTTGGTATTACAATACAATATAAGTGTTATTATATAATACATTTTTTAGTTTGAGCGTGGAGTAAAATAATATATTATCATATGATAATATATTAATATATATATATTATTATTTCATGTAACATATTCAAGTGAAAACATTTCATCATTATTCACAAATTCTGCAGTCGTTATTTATCAAACTTGTGCTACTTACGTCTCGAAATTGTACAACTCCTGCTTCACCCATTGTGGCCACAGATGCATAAGCGGCTTCTGGCTGTATGAAAAGCTGACATAAGGCCATTTCCTCACTCCTGAACATGGACCCCATTATCTGTCAATGCAAATAGTTTGTATATCATTAGTAAAAATGGCGCATTAAAATTGTATGGTTTCATTTTTCCTAAAATGTATATTAACTTTTACTACCTATATGAACATTTTAAAAACTTAATACATCTAACCATTTTATTTTTATATTTGTTATATTATGCATTTCTATAGTTTGGATTGAAACAAAAATACCAACACGGTTAAACACTGAATTAGTAAGTTAACTGAACGTAACTAAAATAAATTATATCAAAATTCATAATTAAAGACAACGAAATAAAAAAATGTTGCTTGCTACTACAAACAAAYATCAAAGCCTGAAATTTCAAATACATAAAAAATGTATCATTTAAGTTTTTACCAATTTTAACACTTAAAATTATACTTCTTTAATAATTTATATAAGTTAATAGTACAATATATTATAACATTTATAACACACATTTATAAAATATTTCCAAATTAAAATGAAACATACAAATCTTAGTAATCTTACCATAAAGACATAATTAATAGTCTTAGAAGATTGTGAAAATGTGATTTTTTGAGTTCAACTGGACTCGGTTAGTTAGTATTCAAACACAGACTCGATTAATATTGCATTTCAATTACCTTAAAACAAYCGGCATTCAATTGTTAATTTGTTCTAAAAGGTTTTATAGAAACTCAGTTCGTATGCAGCCTTTAAAACATCAAGTACAATAATTAATAATTAAGTACTATGATAAACCGTGTATTCACTATTACGAAACATTTAGTTTCTAGGTAAGATTGTATTTGATTAAATCAGACTTGTTTAATGGGCAATATACTATGCAAATTTTAAGGAAAATTTAAAAACTAAATTCATGATTAACGTTATATTCTAGAAACTTAGTGGATTGATAATTTTTGATTTTAAAATGAGTGTAATATTGTTTTATGTTTGTCAACATCAAGAGATTATCAAATATTTCGAGGGTTGTTTCTGGTACCAAATTGGATCGAGTTGAAATCTAAAAATACATATGCACCATTTTAGTTTATAGTGTTTCCAAATTCAAATGTTTACGAAATTAGATAAGTATTCAAAATTTCAAACGAAAACAGCGGTTTTACATATTTATTTTGTTGTTGGTAGTTCAAGAAATAGTATTTTTTAAGTCTTTAAACTTTTCAATATTACAATTAAATACCTATAATATTTAATATTTACTAAACACAATGACATGGTTATTCAAGATATTTTACTTAAGAGAGGTATCTCATGAGCTATTTATCATATTTTAATTTTAAAGCGAGTTATGTGTATTTTAAAATTGAAAATTATTTGTATATCTTAAAATAATAAATAATCATAACTCGCTTTAAAATTAAAATATAATAAAAAGCCCATGAAATATCCTATATAATAATCTTACTTTTAATTTTTATAAAAGGTCAATTCACTCTAAATTTTAAACTAATGGAGCTAAACGTATACAATTTGCTATGTTACGCACTGTTAGACGGAGACAACACAAAATGCGGGTGTGGCATCCTCTTAATTGTTTGTTATTCATATAAGACTGTTATCTATTCAAACCGTTCCACGGTACGTCAATATTKAATTTTATAAGTTAATAACTGCTAGATAGTAATATAATATGAAATAATACGTGATTCGTTTTTGACAAACATTATTTCAACCATAAATATATTATGAAGTAGAAGCATCACAAAAAATATTTCAATAATTTACTATTGTATTCATTGTAGCCTGTAGCCACTAGCCAGTAGGTACCTCCAATACCGGACACTTAACACACAGCAGAATGGCTTGAGGGAGGTCTTAGATTCTGAACAGAGATGGTGGGTTTTACAATGATGTGTGTTGTTTTCGTATCTAAAAGACACTTTTTACAATAGAAAAATGCACCAATCTTCAAAAAAAATATCGAGGTAGTAAATTGTGTCTAACCTTATACTTTGGAGAGTTTTAAAGAATAAATTTATCACTACTTAAGAGGACTCCACACTTACATGTGTTGTTCGTTTTACAACATACTAAAAACTGCAGATTTGCGCGGGAAAGAATTGAGAATACTATAAAGCTCATAAGTCATAACTATAAAGAGGAGCACATTTACTATGAAAATTAGAAAGTAAGAACTGTGTGAAATTGTGAATAGATTCAAGGAATAAATAGGTTAAAATTAATTTAAATGTTTTGAAATTGTCATTGCATACTAACTAGTAACAGTAGTAACAACAGAAAAATCTATAATATAAGTAAAAGTGTTAAGTCTCCACACATAATGTTTTTGAATAACTAACATCGTTAAAAATTATCTTATTTTGTTCAAATTAAAACATAAAAAAGTTATACATTTTTTTATATATATATTTAGAGTTGATAAGACACTTTTATAGAATTTTCGTTATTTAGCTATAAAATGTCAACATTTTAATCATTTTAACAACAAAATAAATTGCAAATTTTCGAGAAATGTTTTTTAAATTAAAATTATTTTGATGAATAACAACATTTGAACTACCTAAATACTTATAAAAATATAAATTAATTTTATTATTTCTTAACTGCTATTATAATAATTTTTGTGCAACCTTGTATTAAATTTTCTAGCATTTATTAACCCAACGATTTTTTTTTTTTTTTAATTTATAGCAAAACAAAAATAAAATTTAAAAACTCTATAAATAATTCAAAACGAGACAAAACATTAAAATAGTTTTATCGTGTGTAAAAAATGATAAATAAACATTTAGTAAAAATTTCAAGTACCTATCTGCGGTTAATAGAATTTTTGAATTACAACAAAATTAAAAGTCGTACCATCATGAGAATTTGTTAATTTACGGCGAATTTTTTCCTGGGCTATCAATAATAAAATCTCAGTAAAAAAATTATTCGACTTAGTATAAACTTATGCGGAATCTTGAATAAAGTTTTCAGGTTTTTGTTCAAGTGAAAAATGTGTTTATCGACGGTAATTAAAAAAAAAAATAATAATAATCTAAATTTGTCTAATTATATCTATAGATAGCTCACAAACAGTCAAAATATTTAAACAATTTATTCATGTATATAAAATGCCAGAGTGAACATTCGGTGAAAATGTCTTCCATTTTTGGAATTTTAGTCTTCTAATTGTTCTTAATTTTAGAGATACCAATAAACAAATCGATCTCTTTAAAATTGGTTTTGCGTGAAAATCTTAAGTTTTTCTGAACACTTATAAAAAGTACTGAGGATACTTTACTTTTGATCACCCAAAATGCCAACTAAATTTACTTTACCAATAAAAAAGATGCTAAAGCAGAAAACCAAAAAATTCGCTATCTAGTCAGCTATACTATCTGATAATAAGTAATTACTAATTACTATCTTAATTTGTTATATCATCTGAAAGGTCATTTTTACAGTAAAAACTGATAAATATACAAAGGTACACGTGTTTGGCAGACTATTTAACTATTATGAAGAGTTACGTATGTAACATTAAAGAGATAACCAGCATGTCATTAATGCTCCTATTATGATAAAATAAGTTAGATCAATGAAAATTAAAATCAAATCCTAATTTTCTTAAATGTATATATTACAGGGGTGGCCACAACGAGGCTCGCGAGCCGCATGCGGCTCTTAAAATAATTTCGTCAGGCTCTTGAACCAAACTTGTACTAAAATTAAAAGTAAATAAATGTTCCTTCATTTGTTTTAAAATGAAAAATATATCTTTAATTTATAAGCATTGCTTTACAATATGTGGCTCACCTTGAATTAACTTTATAAATTTGCGGCTCCCAAAGTTAAGGTTAGTGGCCACCCCTGGTATATAATAATTAATTATTCTTTCATAATTACTAAACTTAAACCGACAAACGTAGTAAATAATATAATTTTTACATTTTCGTTATGTTTTGTTAAGTGCAAGATAAACAAACAAGTTAATAAAGGCTATTTACTATTTATAGTTTCATAAAATAAATTAAAACAGCACAAATCAAATTTTTCGGCATTATTTCAATAGACATTTTCAGTTGAAAGTTGCAATTTGTTTGAATAACGTACATAATATATTATATTTATAATAATCTATGTATAAAATATCAAACCAAATTGAATTAATTATAAGAAAAAATAATTTGAATTATTATATTTGTCATGATAGACTAGATTAGGTCAAATTAGTGTATTTCATGGGTACATAATACTATAGTAGTATTTGAATCTAAAATTGAGTACCTACCTTTTACCTATCCGTTCTATTAATTAATTAATTAATTGCTTTTAATTATTTTATTACACTATATTCTAAAAACAAAAAATATCCAATTGCAATATTATAAATACTTACCTAACGAATTGTTTTTCTCAATAATAATTTACTAGTACAAAGTATTAACTTTAAGTATTTAAACATATTAAAATTGCAATATGGTATTTATGAAAAAATATTCATCTTCTTTTTAATTTAATAATCTGTAGTTAGAATAAGAAGTGAAGGGCTTTCAATTTATAAAATGGATAATCCTTATCCAACACTATTAATAAATAAGTTATTTTTAAACGTTGAGTAGGTACTGATTTAATTGATAATATTATATAAGATTTATTAAAATTATAAGAAAAGACACAAACTCGTTATTGAATTATTGAACAGTTAGTGATTTTGAAACTTTTAAATTCCAATTTCGTATATTTATTTTGATACTATTATTAAGTATAATTAACAACAATTCAGTACAATCATGTTAATATTTAAATTCTATAGACGTGATTATTCGATGTGATGTGTACGTTAATAATGAGTTCTTCAAAAATCAAACATAATATTTAAGAAATTACATAGATTATATTATATATTATATAAATATAAATAGAGATAAAAATATAATTCTAAGATAAATTATAAAGTGGTATTACTCAAAAAAATAATATCAAAATATTTAATTAATATAATTTATTATATTTACAAATTACTACTTATTTTTCAGACAGGTACAACAAAAAAGTAT